CTCTCTCTCTCTCTCTCTCTCTCTCTCTCTCTCCACATCTTATTTCCCCTCTCCTGCTACTACAGTGCACCTTCACTTGTTCAGCCCTCAGTCTGAGAGGAGGAGGATGACATGTGATTGGCCAGGCGGGGACTGGTAGTCCGGGGGTTGGCACTGCGAGGCTTTTCGTTGCTCCCCATGTTCATGTTTACACCTTTGCTGACCGGGACGAGAGGAGACGCGGCGCGCCGGGGTCCGGTGGACAAACTCGGAAGTAAAGTCTTTGGGTTATTATTATTTTTGCTGGAACCTGTCAGCGTTTTATCTTTTGCGCTTCTTTTTTGTTTTTGTTTTGTTTTTGTTTTTGTTTTAGCATAACATTTTATTTTTATTTTTTTTATTATTTATTTATTTTTGGCGCTTTCGTTTAATTTCTCCGTCCAGCGCAACGATGCGTCAAAGTTTTTGGTGACTCTCAGTGCATTTGTGCGCTAAGGGCTGGGAACCAGGTCAACCTGACAGATCCTGCCTTTAAAAATAGTGAAACATCTCAAAACAAACTTTTAATGCGAACGGAATTAAAGTTTGGGCGATGGATGCTTTTTAAACCAAAGGACAAGATTAACTCGCGTTTTTGTACAGTTGATGAACTCGAGGGCGTTCAAGCCAGCCTCATCCTGTGGGTAAAGACCGTGCAGGACAGTAGCCCCCCTCGGTGCGGAGGCGCAGCCGGAAAAGATGTGCCCTCTTCGGATGCAGCGTGACCAAATTGCCGGTCCTTTGGTTCTTCTCCTGGTCTGTGGATTTGTGGCGTCTGGCACGGGTAAGTTTCAACTCACATGGCGAGACGCGCGCACAGCATCCAGCTGTGCTCACAAAGCGAGCATTTTAATCAGTTTGAAGAATTTAAATCAAAGTCATCCAGGTTACCTCTAAACCCCAGAGTGTTGTCAATGAAGGGGGGAGCAGCGCGGGGGTCTGGGACCTCCTGCTGACGAGCGTTTTCTTTCTTTTCCACACAGCAAAGTCTCAGCGTTACAGTAAACCTGAGCTCAGAGCTCTCTTTTTTTCTTGGAGCGGAAAAATCAAAGTCCCCCGGTGCGCAGGGAGTAATTAAGGTTTTGCTCCATGCCTTCCTGGCCTCTCCACCGAGGAAAACGCAAAGAAAAAGCCATGTGAAATGAAATAACACTTGACAAACTTTCTCATCCTCAATAAAAGATACATCTTTTTAAGCACGGGTTGCTACATTTCCTGGGAACCCGCTTATGAAATCTTGAAGTTATCATTGTAAACTATTTATGCTTCTTCAATGTATTTTTCATTATGCTGGAAAGTTGCAGTCAGAGTAGCTCAGACTGAGGAAGGGACAGGCTGGGATTTGAGTGGCATGGACTGGTGTAAAGTTCTCACACTGTGATAACTTTGTGTAGAAATACCACAACATGACAGTACATACACAGAAAATGAATCTAAACATTTTCATAATTGCTTTTTTTCTCCCCTACATCTTAAGGACAACTATTATTACGGTACTATTTCCACGGCATCTAAAACATCTTAAATATTGTAATAATGTCATTTTTTTCATTTTGATGTTAAACAAAATTGTTGAAAAAACACAACTGGCTGCTAAACTTAAATACTTCATAAAGCTTTCCAACTGTAGTTTAATAAGATGTTTATTTATTCAAAGTGTTGGGTGGCATTCACATAGTATGATGCTGCCACCATCATGTTGGTTTTAGTTTTCACAGAAGCATAGTTTGTCTTACTTTCTTTCTTTTTAACATATTTTTATTTTGGAAAGCTAAAAAAAATTACAACAATTTGATTTTTAAAAAAAGTGTAGATAGCTTCTTTCAGCCAGCTGTCCGGAAGTGTGACAGCAAGAGGGTCAAAGGAAGGGGAGCATTCAGGCACTTTAACTGACATCTCATCAATGTAAATGGTTGGATCAATGTGGCTGAACATTTTAGCACTAGTCTGTGAACGTTAAAAAATAATTAAAGTCTTGATACTGGTGATCAGCCCCTCCCTGGTTGGACCATTTCGGTTTTGGAGCAGGCCTGTTGCCAGACATAAAACCATACTTCAATAAAGTGCAAACCCCCAAATTTTCTTTTATATACAGTTTAACACAAAACCTGAATGGTTCAAATATTTTTTAGACTGCAAAAAATGTTACTAAAGATTTAAAAGCTCAGACTTTAAGTCCATTTTCTTAATGTGTGACAATAACTTAAAAAATATATTAAACCTGAAAGCAGAACTGTGAAAAATCTTTTTTTAAGTTAAGGTTATAAATGGCAGGTTTCAAATCTTCTTCACTTATCTTCCTATTTGGAAATTAAAGTTAGAATTGATGTGAGAAAATTGCAGTTTGTATAAATAAACGCAACATTTGTTAACAGTTCAAAAGTTTCATCGTTCAGGTTGCCATAGAGTCCCAACCAGTTTGACCTGCAATCTTTTAAATTGGATGTTTGGATGCTTTGGTCACAACCCCCAGTATGACAAGTTTGGTGACTCCGATGTCCATGTAACACTTTGAGACTCCTACGTCATAGTAATGACTCTTTAAATCTCATTTCGGTTTAGCCTGTTTGCAGCCAAGTATAGAATCATCCTCCCCTCCCTTTGTCCGACCAGATTGAAAAACAAGGCAGAAATCAGAGGGTTTAGTGGATTGTGGATTAAGCGTGGCGTTCAGTTGGTTAAAAAAAGAACAATGCGGCGTGCTTTGGGGACAACATCTTAGACGACTCTGAGAAATAAATCTGATTCTCTTTTTTTTTCTTCTTTTTCTTCTTTTTTTGTGCTGTGATAGTAGTAATCTTTTGTAGAAATGTATACAGTCTCCCAAGATGTTCATAATTTTTTAAAGGCCAATAAGATATCCCGGCTCATCAGCAGCACCACTACCACCTCTGCTGCCAATAGCTCCCAAGGTCCTTGTGGGTTTGTTATTCCCTGAAGCAGGGCAGAAAAGCAGCTTAGGTTTATTAAAGTTGTTAGCTTTTCTGAAATCCTTTCATGAGAATTGTTGATAAAAAAAAAAAAAAAAAAAAAAAAAAAAAATTGAAGGCCTGCAGGGAATTCCGATTAGAGAACCAGATTAGGCATGGGCCGGTTACTGGTATCATACCACGGTTTAAAAAATCTATGATTTCAAATATGTTTAAAAAAAATTAAAAATTGCATCTTGTCCTTCCAGATAAATGAAATCTCCATAAAGTGCCAGTTCCTCCAGTAGCACTTCCCCCTCCTTTACCTGTTGCAGTGCACTGCCGGTCAGCTGCCTGAAAAGAAAGCCAGGGCATACATAAAAAACATGGCCAGTGATGTGAAAACTAAAGGACCTCCTCGCATTACTTTTATTACAGCCCATTTGTTTTGAAACTTCACTTGGCACGCTGAGAGCCAGCTCTGTTAAACAGTCTTCTGTAGATAGTCACCTGAGACCAGCTTCTTAAACCTTGTAAAGACATAAACAGCATAAAAGTTTAATAGTCTGAGCAAGAGTGCAACAAAAAATAGCTGAATTAAGAGCGTTTGTGTTTTTATTTGTGAATGAATGTTAAAAGAAAAGTTAAAGTCATAGTAATATGCCATGTTACTATGTTATAGGACTCTAGCAGGTGCAGGAATAATGTTGTCTATACTAAGTAAAAGCACCTACGTCACTCATTTTATTATTAAAACTTTGTGTAAATATGCTTTATCATACCATGGGAATCTCATGCTGATCCAAGCTTAGAGCACATGTAGAAGAAGGAGGGGGTGAAGGACACAATAGCACAGTGTGCACCAGTAAAGTTTCTGTCTGGGAGAGAGGAAGCCAGAGATATATTTATGGCAGACATGATGGGATGGACGGATTGCATTTATCTTCTCTCCCATTGTAGGTAAACCTTTCCTCTGCTGCATCATCCCCCCACGATCCTGTCTCAGTTTCTCACCATTTTGTGGATCTGCTGAGCTTTTTACTTTAGAGCTTTTTTTTTTCTGTGTTGACATATACATTAATTACCGTGTTGCCAGGAACACTTGTCTCAAGTTACTACCCTGATGTCCATTGTTTTTGCAGCATGTGTGTGTGTGTGTACTGCTCCATTCAAGGCTTCATTATAAAACTGAAAGAAGAAAGGGATGTTTATACATAGTTGGTGTCTTTAAGATGAATAGATTCCCAGCAGCACCAATCAGAGGCAAACTTGTGAGCTTTGTTTAGTTTAGATGATTAAATCTTTTGGTAATGCTCAGTAATTATTTACTTTATTCCTTCCTTTCACTGTTTTTAGCATTTTTCTATTAGAATTTAGTAGAGCTAGCTCGTTCTCGCTCCTCCACAGCCTGATATAGAAAGGTAAAAGATCAGCATTTAAAGAACTCCCATGTGCCAAACCGTTTAAAAACAAAAGGCAAAATTATCCCGAAGTTGACATTTTAAATGGTCTTTAGCATCTCAGTGATTACTGCAGCCTGAGTTGAGAATAAAGAGTCATGACCCGAAATCTTAAGATTTTCTAAGGGTGTCAAGATTCAAAAATCCAACATGTGCCAAAATAAAAGTCAGAATTTAAAAATAATAACATAGAGAATTGGAAAATTCTTATCTGACGACAGTCTTGCTCTCGCTTGCTCTCTCACAGCCTCGATGAACCGCAGTCAGTTCTTGACATGTTTTAGAAAATACTATTTTCTTTTGAATATCCTGTTGCATTCAGTAACCATGGTGTTTTCACTGCAGCTTAGTATCTGATCAGGTCAGGATTGATCAGGCTGAAAATCGGACGATTCTGACTAGCAGCTGAATTTCTGGTGCTTCTCTTCCCAACAGGTAAAGGATGAAGCAGGTGGAAGGGTCCAGACTGTAAGACAGCAGGGGAGCGAGTGCGATTTAACTGGGCAGTCGGGTGTTGAGCATCAAGAAGCACAACCTGTCAGACAATGAAAGAGAAATTCAATTTGCTTTCTCATTTGTGTCAAGTTTTGAAATCCTCTTCCCCGCGAACATCGCTTGAAGCCTCTGGAGACTCTTGTTCTTTAATATTACATGCCAGCGTGTAAAAGGCTTCTGAAATATTTGTGCCCTTGTTCCGTGGAGGGGTCAGGAGACTTCTGCAACTTTCAGACTGCCAGAGTGTGTGGTTTATATTCACGGGAAGGAAGGAATGTGACAACAAAGCTTACCTTGAGCAGACACCTAAGTAGATTTGGCTTCAAAGACACTCAACAGATTGAGATGTCAGATTAGATTCGAGTGTGTCTGAAACATGTAGTCATAACAAAAGTGCTGTCGGGCCGTTGCATCCGCAGAGGTTTGGACAGGTGGTTGGGCAGCGCGGATAAGCAGCTCTCTGCGAACCAGGCCAGATCCGCGGGCCAGTTCTGCTTGCACACCAAGCCGGACCGCATTCCGTCCTGAGGCAGTGCATTAGTTTTATGGCCGTCAGGCGGCAGGGGATGGGAAGGCTGGCCAGCCCCTGCCCTCTCTGCTGTATTATTCATATGTGCAAAGTGGTCTTTTTTAATATTTAAAATGTGCTTATGATGCTCAAATTCTTGAAATCTGAGATGGCAAAAGAGAAAGAGGTGGGAGGGGAGCTGCCGCTGAGTTCTCCTTAGAGTAACTGACACGGATGGCTGCAGGAGGTGGTGAAGGATTTTTAAAGTCCTAGTCCACATTTATAAATTGTGTCGTCTGAGCAAGAGGACCAATCGCAGCTGGGAGCTATTAGAGATGATGCCCTTGAGCTGAATAACAAAAATTTTATTTAGGATGATGTTTTCCGTCTTTAGGCAAAAATGGCAAAAAAA